CACTTGTATACAACTTCTCCTCTCTATAACTTTGCCTTTTACGGTGTGTTGTATTATGTTAAGCTACGCCTTCTTCGAACCCACATTGAACTTTGGTGAAGAGAAGTGAGAGCAATAAACCAACTAGACAGTTTTACTGTCACCCAAACCCCTTGTTTCCCGTCCACCTTGTAATAAATTGTTGACTCCGAATATCACATACCATAGACACTAGTAAAGTCCACGCTACCATCGACTTGGTGTTTCGGGAACGCAACAATATCATCAGCTTGGTTGTCTATAGAGCGAACATAACGCCATTCACTGCCAGTTGTCAAAGTCTGGATTCAGCAATGCGTGTGCCAACAAAGACTATGAAGCGATATGAATCGGACTGTATCCATGTCAGCGCGGTGGTGGAGTCACTTGCCATGGTCACATACATGTAATGGATGTCAAACACAAGGAACACTTTGAACACAAAAAAAAAAAATACATCTTGAAAACAAGGAACACTTGGTATTAGTAAGCATGGCTATGCAGTCTGAAGGTGACAGGCGCTTGGGGAAGCAACATCCCCGTATGAGTAGCTGCGGCCTCTTCATTATACTTCGACAGTTGTACACGTCTCGCAACTTGTCGCTTGTATGTTTTATTGCCCACCTTCATATTAACAACACGGACCCTGCCGTCACTGCCTGGAAGTAGCTCTTCGACCAAGCCAACTGGCCACTGAGATGGCATTAACTGTGTGGGTCAGCAATCATCACAACATCTATAACAGCAAGGTTGTTGACTTCTCGGTTCCACTTCTGACGGGCTTGTAGAGGAGAGAGGTAAGAGCGTACGAAACTGCCGCCAGAACTGATCTGCAAGAACTTGACCATGGCGTCAAGTACAACGGCCCTTGAACACTGAGTCATCGTAGACAACCATAGGTAGTGGAGGGTCTCGTCGCCCCATTAGCAGCATATTGGGCGTAACAGGGTCTACATCAGCGATCTCTGAGGCTGCATGGGAGCACAAAGCTCAGCACCATTAATTTGTAATAGCGCCCTTTTTGGAACTTCATGTATCTTGTTTCTACATTCCGATTGTGCAAAGGTTCCATCAGAGATCTCAGGGAGGCGACGCATCCGGTGTGGTCATAGAGGCCCTTTACCCTTGCTCGTCTTGCCCATGATGCTGCGGCCAGTTTCACCTTGGGCAACGTGCCTATTGTGTACTATTTATTTTTTGTCTCTCTCTCTTGCCTCCCTCCAGGCGACGCAACCAGACGACGCGACGGCACGACGGCTCCCTTGCGTCGTGCCGTCGGATCGAACCGTCGCCTTCTTGAAACTTCGTTTGTACACACACGACACGTCGTGCGTCGCGTCGTGCTGTCGTGCGTCGCGTCGTGTGTCGTGTCGTGTGCTGTCGCCCTTTACTTCATATAGTTTATAGAGGGCACCTTTACTGTTTTCTTTCATTTCCTTCCCCCGGCCCGTGCTTGCACAGTAAATGCCATAGGCACCAGGCCTTGATTCTGTTGTTCTTTGATTCTGTTGACTTTGTTTTCATTAAGAGTGAGTTGTTGAAGAAAACTCTTTTCCTTTTTTTAATCAAATGTATTCAGAAAGAGCTTTGCGACTAAACAGCATTGTCTTCGGGAAATATATAACATTAACGTCATCCAGAACAATGTTTTAGCTTTTCCTGATCTAATTCTGATTTTTCTAATAATTATTGTGAACCCATTCTAAGATACAATACATCAATCATTATTACTTGTTTGCGAAAATGTAACATGCGGATGTGATGAGAAATTAAGCGCAAGGCCAAACAGAAAGGAAGAAAAGACATCGTCACAATGGTAGTAGGATCTACAGTGTTTAATTAATAAACAAGGACTAATATCATTGAAAGTGTGGTGCTGATGAAGTTAACGAGGAAGACTAAATTGAAGGAAGACTGAATATTCTGAGGGTAATAATATAGTGCAGGCTGGATGGTAAGTACCGAAACCCGTGGTCAAACTTGCGGTCGTACAATTGTAGACAAATTGTCTGGAGGAGGGGGAGAACTACTTGGAAACTGCTGGCATGGACCACAGAGAAATATTTTTAAGGTTACAAATCTACCACAAATGGGAACTTCATCAACGGTCTTAAAAAGAAATTGGACGGACATTCGAACAAGGATCAGCCGGGTAAATTAAAAAAGTGACGAATTCTGGGCTTACACTTATTATGCGAGAGCACCTACATACGCGGATTTTCTTTTTGCTCGTTTTCATTTTTTTGGGGGGGGGATAAAGTATGACAAAAATTAATTCAATTTGATGAATGGATGAAACAAGCCCCCTCCCTCAAAAAAGGAATCAACGCCTGCAGCTCAGGGCATGTATTTTGCAAGCGCGATGGACGGAAATGAGAGAAAACAAAAGAAATCATTGGCCGGGAAATTAAGGAGTGATGAATTCCGAGCTTGCGGTTTCCACTTATTTTGAGAGAGTAGTTCCTACATATTTGGATTTTCTTTTGCTCTTTTATCGTTTTTTCAATAAAATATGACAGAAATTAATCCCAATTAATGAATCGATGAGACAACAACAATGAAAAATCAACACCAAAGAGCGCATTGCATGTACTTTGCAAGAAAACAGTAAAGGCGCCCTCTATAAATACCATGAAGTAAAGGCGACAACACACGACGCGTCGCGTCGTGCGTCATGTCGTGCGTCGCGTCGTGCTTCTGGCGACGTGATAGGTGATGCGATGCACGACACGACGCGACGCACGACAATACAACGCGACGGGCGACGGAAGGCGCGACGTTAAGACAGGAAAAAATGCAACATGGAAAGGACCTAAGACAGCACAACGCGATGGGCGACGGCACGACAAGACGCGTCGTGTGTGTACAAAAGTAATGGCAAGAAGGCGGCGGTGCGACCCGACGGCACGACGCAAGGGAGCCGTCGTGCCGTCGCGTCGTCTGGTTGCGTCGCCTGGAGGGAGGCTAAAGAGAGAGAGAAATGTGTGTCATAAATAGTACACCATACTTGTCACCTGGACAGGGCCTCGTAGTCGTTTCTGGCTTACATGGCTTCAGCAGGTATCGGATTTTATATGCAGCTGACACGAAATAAGAGCTAGTCTCCTTCCCTTGACCGGAGAAGATGGAGGTCACTAGGACCCGTATGGTTATCAAGTACAGCAATTCTATTGTCCGAAACAACAAGAGTTCAACAATCTGAATGTTCATGATTCCAAATCAAAATGCAACTGTAGGAATGTAGAATGTAGGAACGACTGATAGTCCAGATCGATGATAAAGTAAATTCAGACTACAATTTGGACTATCTAACCTTACTGTTTATTTGGAATATCGATCTCATCGGGCTGTTAAAGAGCAGCTCAAAGGAAAACATATTTTCTCAGCTTTTGTCTGTTCAAATAAATATGGAAGCATCCGAATCGAACGCAGTGTAAATTGTCTTCAGAGCTCAACTTTAACAAGGTAAAAAGGTTTTTTTCTGTTCATTCCAAGATGCAAATAGAGCCTGCAAGTTGACCCCTGATGGCACGCTTCCGGAACCCTTGGATAGAAAAATAACGTACAAACATTTTAGAATTTGTAGTAGTTTTTCATTCAGTTTCTTATTTGAAAAACCAACGCGGAAAGGGGGCTTTGAAAAAACTTAATGTTTGCTAGCATATCAATTTATAGAAACTGAAAAATTACTTGATCTACAAGAGAAATATCCTGCCAAAAAATGACCCATCACCTCCAAAAATCTAAATACATGAAGAACAGTGCAATGAGGCAGTCTCGTACGCGGATGAACATTTACGGTTTGAAATTTTATGGTAGTCTGTGGGTAAAGCCAAAATAAGAACAGATCACGATATCTTACACACTTTTATAATTTATAAGGTAATAAACATAAAGCAATATTCTCCTTTTACGGAAGATTCTAATATATAATCTAACTTTTGCTGACAACAACTGCGTGATGTTAACTCAACGGAATCTGGAACCGATGGACTGCAGGTAGGTAAATCTTTGCAAGCTTGTAAAATCTCGTTTTCAAGAAAGCACGGCGAGTGAAAACAAACGTGCATGAACAAGGAGACCCAGGTACGATATCGCCGGACGTGAAAGGTCGTTAAGAAAATTCGTGTTTTACCCATCTTCAGGTGACTTTTCCAACATATTACTTGAGGAAGACAAATGTCAAATTCCAACATGAGTGTTTCTTGGAGTGGTTTCAGTAAGGAATTATTTTTCCAGACCGCACAAGGGTTCAGGAAGCTCTCTGCGTGACCTTTTACTTCTAGGCTTTACTCTGAACATTCTGAATGTAGATTGCGTCGTTCTGAGACAACAGAGAAAACGAGTTTAACCCTCGCCCTGTGTTTGTAGTGGATAAACCCCTAGCCCTGTGCATGTCAAACAATGCATGTAGCCATTCTTTGTAGCCATTGTTTGGCATGCACAAGGACTTATCCACTACGAACACAGGTCCAGAATGATGCAGTATCTACATTCAGCATGTTCAGAATTGGCATCTTGGCAAGAACCCAAAAAAAGGCTTTAGCTTGTTATAGTTGAGCTCTAAAAACAATTATGACACTGCGTTCGATGTGGACGATTCCATATTTATTTGAACAGATAAAATCAGAGAAAGCCTGTTTTCCTTTGAGTTGCTCTTTAATTAAATTAATTAAATTAAATTAAATTAAATTTTAAATAAACTGACAGACCCTTCAGACCATTCACCCTTTGAACTGTGGACTAAACATGAAGTCCTCATTTTATCCTATATTTTACATGCAAGTTTATATAACCGTAGATTTCATAAACCTTTCCAATCATACATATAAAGAATATACGAATTTAAAGAATTTGGGGGGACTGGATTTTGTCAAAATAAAGATACATGTATTGCTGTTTTTGGCTTTACGCTGCTACCCAGTGATGGGCCTCTAATTGTTTTCTCTTGACATAATAGCATTCTTAATGGCATAATTTACCGTTTTTGAGGACAAATAGCGCGGTGGAGGTCGTGGTCTTCTTTTGTATTCTTGTATCATGTTCTCAAACCAGTTGTCGCTGTCCTCTTCCTCCATAGCAACCACTGTCATGACAAGTGCCGTAGTGGCAACCACCAGAAAAAATGCCCACGTCTTCATCTTGTGTCTGAGAATTAAGCAACAATTTTAAGATTAAGGAAAGAGTGGTGAACTGTTAATATCCCATAAAAATTAATCACGCCTCCCGACCTGCGCAATGTAACACGCTACGTTTGATTTTGACATTGAGTTGATAAACACACAAAAAGCATCAAGACACAACTTGTTGTAAACCTTTCCACTAAAATTCAGCCTATGTACTTGCAGGTAACTGATTAGCCACTGTTCACTCAAACAAATATTTAACTTTTTTCCCACTTCTCTGAGCACAGCCTGTGGCATTTCATCCAAGCTATAATAGAAGTGTCTCCACGCATGTAAAGTAAGATGCCATTAACGTCACCCTCTTATCTGAGTGCTTGTTAATGCAACGCGATTTGAACTAATCTGGAACAACATAATTGAAATCCACCTTTTCCAAAAGAATAACACTTGAAAAGCATGTTGCTATGCGTTGAGGACAACTGGCTCGTGTTCAGGCTCAATAGTCTTGTCTGAAACCTCTTTAAAGGTACCAGGTCATAACTCCATGGATTTACGATCGTGAATCGTGAAAATAATCGTTGACACTAACAGACGATGTGTAATATAAATCTAATTGTTGCAATCTGTCAAGGAAGGGGCTTTGAGGCCGTGGCAAATGCAAAAAGTGAGGATTAAACGATCCTAGATGAATATGAAATACATCAATAAACGATAAAATAGAAAATAACCATCTACCATGTGGATACAGTGAATTAACTCTGTGGTTTGACAGCCATAATTTATCAGTAAACTATTGTCTGAATGTCAGAATTTCATATTAATGGGTTTTAAATGATCAAACAGAAAAGCTTTTAAGGTAATGGAATTGGTTAATTTGGCTTTCCTTATATGTATTTTGCATTATATTTGCACGTTTATTGTTGTGTTCGCAGAAAACGAAGGCATGGCAACACCCACTGGAACCGTCAGCAAACGAAAGAATGCAATTTAATTGTTACGTATAATTCGTATAATGTTGAATCCGCGCCAAACACGATAGTGGTCTTTTATAATTTATGAACACTCTCAGTTGCTCTCAGTTTTGTCGCACAGCGTAAGAAGTTAAATTGAAATATCAGTCTAAATCTCAAAATATTTTTAAGCATCATCAATTACCATATAATCAGATCCTAATCTTATTACATATAATATCCGTTCTAAATATCTAATATGTTTACTGTGATTTTATCAAAGTATAAAACCCCAATTAACTGAAGGATCGGTGATTTCTCACCAGCAGTTGGAAAGATATTTGGTTTTAAAACAGCCAATTAAAATTAAAATCACACACTAGTTTCCAGCAATTTGGTTAACATCTGCCTCGGGTTTATGCAATCAATTTTGGTTCTATTTCCTATTTCAATCATATCATCCTCATTTGCGGTTCACTGGATTGATTTTCCCTGCTGCCTTGTTCACGCCTAGAACTAGGCCCTGTCTCAAGTATTGTAATCTTCCCCTGGGAAAAGGCAGCTACAGGAAGTCAGATTGTCTGGTTGTAATAAGGGCAGCTCTCTTTTCATCGTTTCACTTGTCACAACACTGATATTAGGAACCAGGAGGTTATTTTCCCTCCCTGTGTCCACATGCATTTGATGTTTCACATACATTTCACCCTCTTGTCAACAATACCTTTTTCAACAATGCCACCTTTTTTAATGTCTCATAAAGCTACCACTTTGAGAAAGGAACCTCTGATTAACGAGTCTGATTCCAGCATCAGCCCATTTTTAGAAAGCTTAGCTATGGGAAAAGTAAGGTCAGGATGGGATAAATTTATTCTATGGAGGACGAAAAGAGGCCATCTGCTTTTCTGCTATCAGAATAGTAGAAAAGCTGGTTTTACGTCTTTGTAACGTGCAAATTTTTACTTTTCTACTTTTCTGCCACCTCAAAACCAGAATGATCATTTTGTTGTAATGCATTTTTTCACTTTCTTACTTTTCTGCTACTACAAAGTAGTTTTACTTTCCTCTTTTTGATGGCGGCCGAAAAGTAGCCATCTGCTTTTTACCTGTCAAACAAGCAGGAAAGTGAATTGAACGTTTTTACGACAACCGTGAATTCAACTTTTCTGCTTTTTCTGGTTTTGTGATACCGGAGGAGCAGATGTTACATACGTGGTCATGGTCATAAGTGGTCATCTGCTTTTTTGTCCCCAATGGGCCGTGAATGGAGTCCTGAACCTGCAGGTTACCACCATGTCCGTTTTTGGGGGAGGGAAGACGTATAGAAACCAATACGTAACCATGTTTTCTGCGGACCAGTCCCATACGTGGCAGAAAAGTAGAAAAGTCGAAAGTGCATGTTTCCAGAACATAAAATCTGCTTTTGTACTACTCTAATAGCACAAAAGCAAAGGGCCACTTCTCGTCCTCCGTATTCATTCCCCAACTTGTATAACTCTATTCTTCGTCCAACCCAAAACAGCCATAGGCCTATACATGCCCATTCCACGTTCAATAGATTGCAGCCCTCATACTGACAATATGTATTCTATAGATAAATGAAAACACGTCGAATAAGAACTGCTTTGAGAATGCTACATCTATGCCTATAATGTAAAGAAGTCTTGGACAGTAGCAATGGCATGACGATAAATATCGAAGAATTACTATTTCCCAGCCGATCGTATTTAGCCCACTGGAAGAAACTCTTCGTAACATCCATCACGTGTGACAATTTCTGGCACGCTTGCACGCTAACAATGCAATTAATTCTGGTCACTGTGTACATCCGTTTATTCTGCAACGGCCATTTTGATCTGAGCAATGACCATGGTTGATAGTTGCCGGCAAAATCCGCTGCTGTTCTGACATAATCGAGCTTCGTTTCTGTCAGACTTGTTTACTACGTTGGAATATTGCCAGCTTGACAAGGTCCATTGCAGCGGTTTCCATGAGTATCGGGAAATTAGCAACTGTAGCATCAAGGTGTTATTGCATATAGTCCACAAAGATGGGGCTTTTTCTGGACCTATTTTTTTAAAACAATGTCACTTGATACAAAACTTGAATTTCGATTTACGTAAATTGTTCACTCAATACGGGCGTTTCACAAAAGTGTGCCTCCTGAAGTTTGCAACGTGTTGACCAGTCACAGCACGCGGAATCTGCCAACCCAATCCGCGTTTGGAAAGGGTCGACGGATTTCACTCATTGTGATTGGTCAACGCGTTCCAAACTCTTGAAGGCGCACTCTTGTGAATTGCCTGTATTCCATCAAAATTGTGGCCATTTTTTAAACATTCTTTTTATTTTTGTCCAGAGCGCCAACTTAGAACATTAAGCATTCTGTCTCACCTTTATGTAATGTCATACTCAAAACCCAACTTAGATATTTCTTCACTTGTCAGTCAAATCAGCATACGTGACATGTACCGGTACTTGAAATGAGTTGCATGACTCATTATTGGCTGTATGGAACTATGTTGATGAAACGAGTAACATCACGTTTACAGTGTCTTGAGACCTTTGTTTATTCTCGTCGACATTAATTTCGACAATAAAGCACTCAAAGACGCAACTACATGGTTAACTGGTATGGTTTTATTTCAGCAAGATTTGGCTGTGGAATTTCATTGTGTCATTACTTTATTGGTCGACAATTTGGTTTCTAAAGCCCAAATTTTCAGAAAGTTGCACGGTGGTCGTCGCAAAGGTCTATATAGAAACGTTCTTATTTAAGTGTTGCAGTAGAAAAAATATACATGGCTAATCTCGACAGATTGCAGTTGCCTGCACTAGGCCTATACGTATATTCATGTGTTTCGATAAATACGTTTTAATCGACATTATTCAATTCAATTCACATTTATTTCCATACTCTT